AAAAGTTGACCTCAAAATTAAAAGAAATAGAGAGTATGATTTATAATGGGCCTATTTTTCTGCCATCTGGGTCCTATCTACTTTATGGTCATTTGGCTAAAATTTCAAATGGGCTCTCTACTTTTACGCCTTGTGGTCCACAAAGTCTAGAAAAAGTTTATTTATTTTCTAACAGTTTAGGGATAAAATAACGTATGATGGTCTTTTTTTAATTTTCAAATTGGTAATTATTTTTTGTGCGTGTCGTAAGGGTAGTGGTTGGGTCATCAATGAAATCGTCATCCTACATCATGCAGCCGTGACGCCATCGCATTTAACCTTACATATATATATATATAGATATAGATATACGAGGATATTCGCGGTGTGATTTGATTTGGATTTTAATATTTTTTAAATTAATTTAATTTAATTAATTAATAAAAATTTTAAATTAATTTAATTTATTATTATATGATAACTAAATCAATCCAACTTAAATCAAATCGATGTGGTTAAGTCAAATTGATCAATTTTTAACATTATTAAATATATAAGATAATATAAAAATATTTTAACATCGAATAGAAAGCATAATCATAAAATAAATTAGCATGCAAATCAGTAAAAACATAATAAAAAGTGTAAATTATAATCGAATTCTTATACTCCTTTATATTTGTAAAAATTGAAAAGATCTAAAAATTTTTCTTGGTTACATCACTAGAAACACCAAGAACAATAAAAGATGATTTCAAGTTTCTAGTATAGCGTAAATAATTCTTAAAAATTAAAATCAGTTTTTTCTTAATGCATTAATAATTTAATCTCATCTTCTAAATATTGTTAAAAGTGAATAAAATTTAACATTAATATCACTAAAATTGATTATAAACATTCATAATCAAAATTTAAAACTTCTAAACTAAATATTCAAGAATAGTAGAATATCAAAACTAATTTTACTATATAATTTTAAGACTTTTAGAATGATATTTATTTAAAATTTAGTTAGGAGAATCATAAAACTATTTTAAAAATAAATTATAAATTTAGGGTTATAAGAGTAAAGGCATAAACCAGTTTTGACAGAATAGAGTTATAGGTGAATTAGAAATTTAGAATTAGGGTTAGAGTGCATGATTAAAATAGAAAAATAACTTATGGGATATGAAGATGTTTTATTTTTATTTTTTAATTAAGTTAATAGAATTATTATCTTGTAAAATAAGAACAAGAAATTTTAAAATACCATAAAAAATATATTATATTATTTAATTAAGTTAT